CCCCAAAACCCCAAAACCCCAAAACCCCCTTGTTTAAATTATGAAATCAAGTTTAGACTAATTAAATCAAGTATAAAAAGTAGATTTCACAAGAAATTATTCTTGAAGCTACCATTAGTGCCAGTAGTGGGTATATTTTTACAATTTCTTATAAGATTTTCCATGTCCATTTAGATATTTTTAGCTAATAGATTGCTATTGGTCTTTGAGAGATTGATTAACTTTTTAAGTCCTTTACTTTTACTAATAATCTCGATTCTTTCAAGTATTTAATCACATTTTGTCTTCCTGTCCATTTACTCAGCTGAAAGCTTTGCGAAATCCTCTCCCATTGCTAAAGAGGTTTTAACTATTGTGTTAATTCTCTCAGTAAATACCTGTAGAATATTCTTCACACATTTTATAGCGATTGTCAAATGAGTTTCAAATTTATCTGCCGTTAATATCTCCTCACATTTTTTAAGGATTGAAATAGCATGATCAAAGTTAAATGTTTCGATTCGAGTTGATTAATCAGCAAATGTGCATCCTAATGCATCAGCTATTATATTTGGATCCTTAATTGTCAGAATGCAGTTAATTGTAGATTAGGTATCATTCTTTGACCAATACTTAAGCATATTCTAAAGAATCTCGTTTCTTTATTTTAGTATGAATATAATCTTGTTATGATCCTTTACTGCTTCTTAAATTGACTTCATATCAGATTCAATGTCAATACCAGAGGCATCATTGAGGAAATCCTCCAATTTTAGATCCGAGGGCTAATCAAATTTAGGTTGTTGATAAAATGTTTTTATTGATTGAGAGCTAGGTGGTCTTTGTTGCTTATCTAGGAAATCTTAATTCCATTAACTCTAACTATGTCCCATTAGATTCAACCCATTTTTAGCTAAGAGTGAAGGTTTGCTAGCACTTTGTTATGTACTTACATTAGGCTCCATTGATAAACCCTTTCTTAGCTACTAATGCAAAGGTTTTTATTCAATACTCATCTAATTTGGCATTCCGATATGAGCAGATGGTTTGACATTAGGATTGAAGTTAATATCTGATAAACTTATATTACTCAGTATAACTTGATTCATAGCTTGCTCACTTTACTCGCAAGTGAATAGATATCCAGCATCTGCATTTATCTTCAAATCTAGAATGTCTCTGAATCCACCTTTTGGTATTATATCTAAGACTTTTGGTTTAGCATCGTCTAGTAGGTATACTTTTACACAGTCATAAAACCCAATATAGGTGTACTTCCCCTCTTTATCGAATAGTAATTTCTAAGGAATGTAGTTCTCTATATTTGTCTGAGAGACTAATGAATAGTCTTGCAATTCCCAGTACTTGATAATCTTTTCAGAAGTTCCCACTGCCACGCAAAGATCCATCGGATTGAAAGATAAGCAACTCGGATATCCACCCTAATTAGATACTTGCATTGATCTCTGCAATTTATTAGTTTTTAAATCCCAAAGTTTGATAGTACCATCTTGACTCCCTGAGATTATTGTAAAACAGTCTGGCGAGATGTCAACACATGTTATTTACTCATTGTGAGACTTAAAGGTATTGATGCAAGTTTTCATTCTAATATCCCAAATCTTGACATTTGTATCAATAGCTCCTGATAAAAGAATGCGAGGATTATTGCTTCGTTCTGTAGTTAAAGCAGTGCAATTAGACAAATGGCCAGAGAACTTATTCATCACTTTAGATTATTGTTAAGAATCAAGCAATTACTTTTATTCTGCTTGTAATTCCACATTTAGATAGTACCACCTAATGTTCCGCAGAAAACAGCATCATTGGCTGAATTAGAGCAAAGTGCAGTAACCTCGCTACTGAATTATTAAGCTTTCTATGAAGTATGTTTGAAATTAATTTTACTGCTATGGGATAGTTATTGTCTTTGAAATCATAGCTCGACACTGAAGGTTAATCATCTCCTATTTAAAGTTAATAGGTCTTAGCATCAATGTCTGCACATCTTATGTTGTAAGTTGGTTCATGTGTGTAGGTCAAAATTTCTTGCACTTCAATTGAAAATATGTTAAGATCAATTGAATAAATTAATTCTTATGAAATGAAAGACTTACACAACTTTGTCTTCTTTCTGTTCATTTTAAAATCTAAAAGTTATATTGAAACACATTCATAATATATAAATATATCATATTCAGCACTCTCTTTTAGTCAGTTTACATTATTTTATAATTGGGGTTTTGGGGTTTTGGGGTTTTGGGG